CTCTCTCAACTCTCTCATCGGAAGAGAGAAAAGTCGTTGCCGTCGGTGACACTCACGGCGGCGCACGGTGGCCGACGATCGTCGGAGCAACCCATACACTCTCAAAAGAAACCTCTCAACCCCCTCTACTTAAAACCCAACTCCCTTTTGCCTAAATAATACCCTAGCATCCTAGATCTACAGATTTACCTCTTGAAAATGCGACTCCGGCGACCTTTAGAATCTCCAATGCTTCGACCAAGGAATGTTCTTTCCTTTCCATTTCTCTTGTTTCGGTGTTTTGTTCGAATGAGATGTAGGTTTTTGGGGTTTTCTCGGTTTGTTCTCTTTTTTTTATTCGATTCTCTCTCCCTGATCTCTTTATATTTTTTCTCCCTGAAAACTGGTCCCTTTTCTTCCCTTTGTCCTCTTTTTTTATCTTTCATGTCTGATGGCTTTGATGGATTTGAATGCTCAATTGGTAGGGAAATGATACCCTAGATTATAGGATAAGATTTGAGGGATTTGTTTGGATTTTTGTTCTGATTTTTATATGTTTTTTTCCAATGTTTGATGGGCTTTCGGTCATTGTAGGTGATAACATCAGCGTCAGAGGCTGTCAGAGGCAATCGACGGCGGCTCACGCGGCTGGGGAGTTGAAGAGTTATTGGCGTGTGCATCACACACGCACCATTGAACGGTCTAGATCCCTCGTTGACGATGATTGGATGAAAATTAGGGTCAAAACCCTAATCTGGGTCATCTTGGACCGTTGGATCAAATTTGGTCCAACGGCTAGAATCAAGGGCGACGCTGAGCATTTGAAGAAAAGAAACCCTAATCGGGCAGGTATTGTGTATTTGTTAGGCTTGAATCGATTTGTAATTGGGTATGCTGAGTGGCCTTCGAGTCTGGGTTTGTCTGGGTCCTTTGTAATTGGGTTGCTGATAGATGGGTTGACCTACAAAAAATGTAATTAGAATAAATAATAATAATAATAATAATAATAATATAAATAATATTTTTATAGACTCAGACAAAAACGGGTGTCTACAGTAGGAAAATGATTAATATGCAAATGGGTTTTGCCGTTCTTGAAAACCAATTTGATCACCAGTTGCCAATTTATATATTGAGAAATAAGTTAGATTGAATGTGAAGGAAGATGGTTCTGTCTGGTGTAAGGAAAGCATCATATTCTTATGCTATACATCAATTATGTGGATAACAAAAATAAAAGTCCAGATAACACTAGAAAACTATTATATTATCCGAATATCACTGCTCACATCAATTTTTGAGATTTTTAAAAGAGTTTTCTTTTTATGTATATTGGTAATATATTAAGTAATTTAGTGGATAAAAACATGAAACTGTTTGTGTATCTTACGATAGGGATGAACATGGACTTGAACTTGATGAGTCTCAATTTGATCGATCTGATCGAGTTAGATTTAAAAATAAAATTCGAGATCGGATTGAGTTTAGGTTTAGGGGAAAATACTTGACTCGACCCGACCCAAAAAATGTAATTTTACTTTATATATTTAAGGATAATTGTAATAATACCTGTCCATATATTATTTTTTTAAGTTAAATCTATATTTTTGTTGAATAAAAGTAATATTTTTTATAATAAATATATTATTTCAGGTCGGATCGAGTTTGGTTTTTATCTCAAAAAATCAGATAGGATTCAGATCAGACTGAAGATGTAAATTTTTTGGGTCGGATGGAGAATGTGTAATTCACCCAAGCCGAGCCGAGTCATGCCCATCCCTAATTACGATTGTGGAAAGCACAACTCCGGTAGGAATTGGATTCTGCTTCTCACTCTCACATTGCTTATTTAATCTGAGATTCACAATTAAACTTCGCCTTCAATTTCTCTACCTCATCCAAAATTTCAGTTTCTCAGGTACGAGCTTTCATAGCATTATATTTATAATCCTCATGTTATGTTCTTAATTATAGATATCTCAATTTATTTTCCTTTCGTTTTTGTTCTCTCTTTGTGGGCTTATTTTAATCATATTTTAGTAATAAATAGATATGAATAAATCTTAAATATATATATAAATATATACACACCACATTTTTTCTCTATGTAAACCTCGGAATATTTTTTCTTTGATTTTAGTCCAATGGACGTGTTAGTGTTTATCCACTTGTACACCAACTTAAAAAAAATTAATTGTAAATTAAGTTGAGAGGTAAAAGTAGAAAAAAACTAGGACCACAATGACCGTAGTAAATGGAATTAATACAAATCTAAATAAGCTAATGCCTAACCATTTTGATTGATATAGACGTGTGTTTCTCAGTTTCAAAATATTATATAAACATGTGAGTTCGCATTTAAGTTTTCACACAAAGGGAATTGATATAAATTGACTCAAAATCTTCATCTTGGATTGTAAAACAAGAATTCTGATTTTTTGACTTTTTTTGTTCTTCTCTTTTCCTTCTTTTGTTTGGCTCCCGAGAAAGTTTTAACAGGTAAGAAGAGCAATGAATGCATTAGTGGCAACCAACAGAAACTTTAAGCTGGCAGCCAGGCTTCTTGGTTTGGATTCTAAGCTTGAAAAGAGTCTGCACATTCCTTTCAGAGAAATTAAGGTGATTTAGTTTATCTGAGTCCAAATAACATAGATTTCCGGGTGTAATGGATGTTGGAAATAACTTGCAGGTTGAATGCACCATACCCAAAGACTCTTTGGCAACTTTTGTTGGATTCAGGATTCAGCATGACAATGTCAGAGGACCCATGAAAGGAGGAATCCGATATCACCCAGAGGTATTCGAAACACTTAATGACTGAATCTAAAAACGTTCCTGAATTCGAGTCCTGAATTTGGTATTCGAACAATGCAGGTAGACCCTGATGAAGTGAATGCATTAGCACAACTAATGACATGGAAGACTGCAGTTGCCAATATCCCCTACGGTGGGGCTAAAGGTGGGATAGGATGTAATCCGGGAGAGTTGAGCAAATCCGAACTCGAACGCCTTACTCGAGTTTTCACCCAGAAAATACACGATCTTATTGGCATTCATGCTGATGTTCCAGCACCGGATATGGGCACAGGTCCACAGGTACAAATATACTATTCATCCCAGCATGGATATTTGGTACTTAAATCGGTAGTGATATATATTTTTTTTTCTTTTGTTGTTTAACTACAGACAATGGCATGGATACTGGATGAGTACTCAAAATTCCATGGCCATTCACCTGCTGTTGTCACTGGAAAACCAATTGTAAGCATTTAACTTCACATTGTATTTAAAGCTAGTTTTAAGTAGACATAATTTTTATTTTTTCCTATAGGATCTTGGAGGATCACTTGGCAGAGATGCAGCCACTGGCCGAGGGGTACTCTTTGCAACAGAGGCTCTTCTTAATGAACATGGCAAGTCCATCTCTGGACAAAGATTTGTAATTCAGGTACAATTTTTTTATTCCAAAAAAGGACTAATTTTTTACAAAAGAGTTGTTGAAAAATGGGGATTTTCGTTTTCAGGGTTTTGGAAATGTTGGATCTTGGGCAGCACAACTCGTCCATGAGAAGGGAGGGAAGATTGTTGCAGTAAGTGATATAACAGGGGGCATCAAGAACAGCAATCCCAATTTGGTCAAACACGTCGAAGAAAACAAGGGTGTCAAAGGGTTCCATGGGTTGAAGACTGTAATATACTCATCCCGGCTGCACTCGGAGGCGTTATCAACAGGTAAACTATCATCGGAATTCAAACTCAAAAGACGTGTTGTCAAATAATTCAACTACGGATACAATTGGTTCTAATTGTTTAACTTTGATCCTCAATGAAGGGGAAATGCAAATGAGATTAAAGCAAAGTTTATAATTGAAGCTGCTAACCATCCCACTGATCCAGAGGCTGATGAGGTTAGTTCTTGTGATCTGAAGTTAGCAAATAAATACCTGAATTCGTTAATTTTCACCTCCCCCCCCCCCCCCCCGCAGATTCTATCAAAGAAAGGGGTGATTATTCTTCCAGACATATATGCAAACTCTGGAGGAGTCACTGTTAGTTACTTTGAGTGGGTTCAGGCATCCCCTTTCTTAAATCATGGACAAAAAAGAAAAACACTCTAATTTCTTTACAAAAGCAAATGATAGCCCTTATCAGATGCTAATTGGTCATGTTGGATAGCAGAACATTCAAGGTTTCATGTGGGATGAAGAGAAGGTGAACAATGCTCTAAGGACATACATGACCAAAGGGTACAAAGATATTAAGGAGATGTGCCAAACCCACAACTGTGACCTTCGAATGGGAGCCTTTACCCTTGGGGTTAACCGCGTTGCTCGGGCTACTGTTCTTCGAGGTTGGGAAGCATGAGGATGCAAATTCCTAATGCTTGGTTTTTGAATAAACATGGAGGCTGCTAGTGCTATGAACCTCCTGATTCTTGTCCACTATTGTGGTAAAAGCCTCATTTATATTGAGGAGCTTCAAATGAAGTTTTGTCATTTGTATTTCTTGCTTTAATGTTGAATTTTACCTCAGTGGACGCAATCATCGGATTATAGACCTAGCAATTTTGAGGACAACAAAAAATAACATGAACATAATTCTAAACACTGAATAAATATATGGTAAACATAGGGTGAAAATGAGCACAAAATGATGACAAACAAATTACGCAAGTGCAAACTTCAACAAACCAAGAATGCCAAATCAAAGGATATAAGATTTTCGGACATAATCACCAATCCTAGGAATTGAAGCATGACAATTTTCGGACATGGAAGACAAGGATAGCAAACATACTTTGGTTGTGGAAGAAATCTTGCAAACCAGCATATGCAAAAACTGAAGCAAAGACAAAAGAAGAAAGAAGTTTGGGTGGAAGCAAAAGCATAAATCAATTTTTCATTGAGAGATCAGATATAAGTAATAAAAAATACACCGACTTTCACCTACTACAAGACTTAACGGTCAGATCGGAGACTCGGACAATATAATTTCCAACAGAATGTCTACAGAAAAGCATATTCAAAATAACCATAAAAACTTGCCATTTCCAAAGTTTCAGACTTCAGACAAGAAGTACAAGATTGCAAGAACTACTACAGGCACACACTAATAAGTTTCTATTTATTCCTTATATGCAAAGAAGTCTAAGGTAGGAGGAGAACGGGATAGTTAAACCTTAAACCCCAACACTGTTGAGAAAGGGAACTGCTTGACTGTGCTAAAGCTATCAACTATGTTTACTTTTATGAAAACCATAAAGTGTTAGAGCAACTTAAGTCTATCCATAACGATGCTGCATTTATCCTTGAAACTTACATCTCTAGGACATACGACCTTCGCTAGCTGCCATGTCCTCAGCTTGTCTAAGGTTCCAGTACTCCAGTTTTCAATGTTTTTGTCGTTGTGATCATCTGGTAACTGATTCCTACGTAATACAATGGCAAAACTTATTCAGCATTCATACATTTGAGCTGACAATTTAGATTCCTTTATTTTCTTTTAAACAGGATTTCATGAGGTACGGGGGTGTAAAAGAATTCAAGATGGTTTAGAATTTCATGGAACCATATGCAAAAGCCAAAGTTCTATACCTTTGTGTTTCCGAGTTTGTAACTTCTGACACTGCCGAACTTGAGCCCACCTCTAGTGAAGGCATCTATGAACCAAACATGGAAGGAATTATTGCAAGCAACAAAGATTGACTGTTTACCATACGTAGAAATACTCCTGCCTGTTTCTTCCCCCATTTTCTTTACATTATGTAACACCCCAATCCGTACCCAACCCGAATACGAGTCCGAGATGTCATATTGACTTTTTAAAGCAATATTTTTACCAAATAACATAATATTTGAACTTATATTAAGAAAATACGATAATATATTATCTAATTATGTCCGTTATAAAATTTTGAGACAAAAACGTATTTATAAATAGTACTATACTATATGAACAGTACCGTGAACAGTAATGAACAATACCCTGCTACAATGCTGCTACAGTACTTCCGTAAAACATTCATAAACTCTTAAAAGTTAACCTTTCATCGCTATACATTTACATAAATACATTTAAAACATTCCAAAACTCGATCAGAGCACATATACTTAATTTAAAGACCTTGTTTACATGCCAACCTATTTATCACAAAATGACACATACTGTGTAATTTACTTTTGATCTGATCTTCGAACAGAGATATGATGTTACTTTGAACTTAGCTTTGATCCTCCAGCTTCTTAGTACCTACGTGTAAATCACTTATACACTAAGTCATAGACTTAGTGAGGCATAAACATAATAATGATACATTTCTCATAAATATAAACATGCAATCTACGAAATCAATTGTTTCACATATGATTTCCGTATATATGATAACAACATAATAACATATGATCATGCGAACACTTTTATAAGCCCATTAATATGCTTATCAGTACTTATATTACTATTACTATATTCCTTTTTATCATATAAATATATATATTGAACATTTCTATACATACCTTGAAACACATATACCATTTCACAACAGAACATACATAGTATCATATCAATTGATTTATTTACTCTCTTTAAAGTCCATGTATACTTTTGAGAACTTAAGGTATGTGAGTACATTGAGGTTGTGCACCACTATGCTGTCACCACAGCTCGTATAAATGTCCCGAAGGACCTATCCAGAGGTCATAAAGAACCTCGACAACTGTCCATAGGTCCCGAAGAACCTAGGTAAACTTTCCATATGTTCCTTAGAACATAGGTAAACTGTTCGTATGTCCCGAAGAACATAGGTAAACCCTCGACTCTTGGCATGCCAACTATACTACTAGCTCTCATATCACTTAACATGGGCATTATCATTTATATAATTTCACGCATTCACATGCAAAATTCACTTTTCATATGATTTCATAATCATATGCCATTTAACTTATAACACTTTTCTTGTGTTCATATGACATGTAAATCATTATCATCTCTTGTTCTCATATACTTTACATACATCACATATATTCATATAGGCTCACGGTTTTATCACCTATCATGTCATTTCACATATACACTTTTATATCACATAAACCCATATCTTCTTATCACATAGCTTCTTATTATATCATTCACCTCATCTATTCAAACATACATACATTCATTTCATTCTCTATATCCTTGTCACATAGCTTATTTTATTTCTCATGTTCTTATGTAAGCACATATGTCATTTCTTGTTTACTTATGTTCACACATATATATATATATATATATATCACACATACATGTATTCAAGTAATCATGTAGATCATGTCACATATAGTAACATATACCTATTTTCATATACTCATGCACATATAAGAATCCCATCAATCATATAACATTTTAGGACTCACTTCATACCATAGTAACTCCATCACTGGCTCATCGCAAGTCAATGTATGTTCAATAACATAAGTACAATAAAATTGCACTCACCTTAGCCTTGCTTGTTTTGACTCGATCCTAATCCTTTGTTTGTTCTGGAACGAAATTACGTTCTATATCTACATAGTAATAAATTTATACATATCAATAATCTAATTGTATACTTTAATCTTCCAATTCTTACACTAAAGGAAAGACCAATTTCATTTCTTGTATAAAGTAGGTATCAATACATCTCAAACTGGGGTATAGATACCCTGCCTATGGTATAGATACCCTGCCTATGGTATACATACCCTGTCAACATTCTGGAAATTTTCATCTTCATGGGGGTATCGATACCATACTGACATTCTTTAATTTTTCGTTCAAGATGAGGTATCAATACCCCTTCATAGGGTACCGATACCCTTTACCCAGAAATTACATTTTGAGCACGAAAATCACCTCATTTATGCTCAAACACTTCCTATTTCATCCCATTATATATACTTAACTTATCTACTCATACTTGAACTCATTAATACTCATTCAATACATCATTAACTTCAAAATCATATCCACCACATGAAATTCAAGAATTAAACTAAATTTTTAACATGTTCCAAATTCAATTCTAATGCTTTAGACTTCTTAATTCTTCTTATGACAAGTCAAATATCTCATCAAAACTCTAAAAACCAAACCATATCAAAATTCACTCATCTTATTGTTTTAAGCTTATATAAGCTTTCCTTAATCTTATATAACACCCAATTACTCCAACCCAACCTAAATTTAACCCGAAATTAACTAAATAGAAGACTCGCCTTTGAGCTTGGAGATACGGGAGGAGAGAAAGAAGAAAACATATTTATGGAGAAATCTCTCAAACTTATCCCGTATATATCCATATCTTATCTATTTCTATGTCAAATGACCATTTTGCCCTTTAATTCATTTGATAATTACTAACAACTCTCAGGAAATATTTTCCAATAAATCATTGAACTCTTCAACTTTTCCACTTTAATCACTAATTCTGAAATTTTACAATTTAGTCACTAATCCATAGTTTGGGATGTTACAAATCTCCCTTCATTTTAAGAAAATTCGTCCTCGAATTTTCATTGTACATATTGATAAGAACATATCTTCAAATGTTCTTATGTTGTCTCCTTTACTTACTCTTTCATTTTTAGCTCTCTAACTACCTTTTTCCCCTATATAAACATCTACTGTCATTTATCATATAAATAGTAACAAGTAACCTCAATTTATTTCTGTCTTTTCTCTCTTCTATTTTGCATTTTCCTTTGATCTTTCTGAAATCCATATAATGTCACTTATCACGTAGACAGTAATATTCATTTTCATCACTCAACATCATAAATCCATCTCTAATTACCTTATAACAATAACCAAACTTTTATTTCATTTTCGTTTGACTAAGAACTCCACCTTAAATATTATTTTTCCAAATATGATTAAACATACACTTTACAGAATCAAACAATCTTTGTACATTACCTTGCACACTTTTCTTACTGCTATATCGAACTTATCATCTATACTTCCATATAACATTTATCATATCTAGTTCTTTAAATTCAACCATTTTCATTTCTTTATCCACTTATCCTTCCATAATCAACATCTCCTAATAACTGAACCATATCTTTCACCTATGTTTTCATATTCTTTTTGTATCACTTTTACTTATCGCTAATTACCTCTCTTTATTCCCTCTTCATAACTCTTATAATCCATATGAAGTACCCAAAATCTTGTTCTTATACAATATCTTTATTCTTTCGACTACTACCTTTAATTTCCTTCGAATACACAAATCCAAATCTACATCATACTTAGTTAACTTAGCCTTATATCCTTTTCCCATATTACAATCAAATCTCCCTACTATTGCAACTAATCTATAACAATTATTTAATCTAGGGCACAAGCCCTTAATCGACCAATCATATACATCATTTCCAATTGAAATTATCCTTATAGTAGTTTACTTAACTTATCAAATTTACGTTCGTTCTCATACACCATATAATTTCCATTGTTCAGATTCAACCATTCTATTTACCTTTGTCGTGTAAACTGATCACTGATATACATATTCTTAAACTATTCCAAAACAATATTCTATATTTCTTGGTTCTTTTATATTATTTAATCTGTCTAAACTGATTAACTTTATTCTTTTCAATTTGCCATTGACATTTATATATATTAATTATATAACTTACTCATTTCCAATCTTACTACAAATCCAATGAATAGTAACTCATCAACTTAATAGGAAATTTAATTCTCTGAATTCTAATGGGACACTTTCAATATATCTTATTTATCCAAACACTGTGCCCTACTAAATTTGTTACTGTCACATCACTATAAATAACTTCCAATTGAATTCTCAATTCTTTCACCAATTTACTACTAATATATAAATACCTGCTATTATCTCTGGATTATCAAGATCTTCATTGATATTAATGTTATACATTCGAGCAGTGGAACGTATTTCCTGTTGAGTAGAGGATTCATGTTCACTTCTGCCTCTGCCTCTTCCTCTACCCCTTCCTCTTTGAGACATCGAAGCATATCGCTCCAACTGTGCATGCTCTTCTGTCCATAATGGACAATTTCTCATGAAATGTCCTGTTTCCCCACATCGGAAACAAGATCCAGATTTAACTCTACACGTCCCACCGTGATATCTTCCACAAGTCTGACAATGTCTCTGTTGTGCTCTTGCATCACCAGACCCTACTGATTGGTTCTGTCTAGTTCTCATCTGATTTGATTCTCTAACGAAGGATACTACTGATCCAGACCTTACCTGAGACGGCAAACCAGAATCTCTACCTCTCTTGGGTGGTGCAGAACTCGATGAAGCCCCGGTTCTTTTAGATAGTTGGGGTCTTTAATCCCCAAACCTTTCATTCTGAGCTCTCTCTAGAGCTTTAGCACGATTTACTATTTTTTAAAACGAGGACAAGTTCAGTATTATCAACATTTCTTTCAACCTTGGGCGCAAGCCCTCAACAAACCATTCACACGCATCCTTCTCTGTTGGAATTAACTCGGTCACAAAATGACTTAACTTATTAAAATCGCACTCGTACTCATACACAGTGCGATTCATCTGTTTCAGATTCAAGAGTTATTTCTTCATTTTACTGATAAACTGATCTTCTATATACTTGTTCTAAAACTCTTCTAAAAATAAAGACCAGGTCACTTGATCACTTGTCATTCTCAGAGTGACATTCGTCTACCAGATTCTAGCTTGCCCACGAACCAAGGAGACAACTCCCTCTAATTTCTCCACATTAGAACAGTGAAGTCCATCTAACATAATCTTTACATCATTAAGCCAATGGTTTGTAGCAACAGGACCTTCTTCGGCTTCACCTATAAACTCTGGAGCTCCTAAACCATTCAACTCTTTTGCAATATTCATTCTCGAAGTTGAAGTAGCAGGAGGTTGAAAACGTATCAATACCACATCTAACGTTCTAAAGAACACATCTTGATCAGCTACAGACACTCCAGAATGTGCATGTTCTTCACCTTGACTGGCCAGGGCATGTGAATTACTGCTTTCAGCGGGTCGATCATCTCCCGCTTCACTTTGAGAGCTATTATGTCCGGACATCTAATAAGAATAAAAATATCATTCTATTAGCAAAACAACATACTCCATAGTATACCAGATCAGAAGTTTTCACTATTTTGTTGGTATGTATACATTATAAAACACTCTAAACTTCGATTTATATCGAGAATCGACTAAACCGTAGCTCTGATACCATTAAATGTAACACCCCAACCCGTACCCGACCCGAATACGAGTTCGATATGTCACATTGACTTTTTAAAATAATATTTTTACCAAATAACAGAATATTTGAACTTATATTAAGAAAATACGATAATATATTATCTAATTATGTCCGTTATAAAATTCTGAGACAAAAATGTATTTATGAATAGTACTATACGGTATGAACAGTACCATGAATAGTACCGTGAACAGTAATGAATAGTACCCTACTACAATACTGCTACAGTACTTCCGTAAAACATTCATAAACTCTTAAAAGTTAACCTTTCATCGCTATACATTTACGTAAATACATTTAAAACATTCCAAAACTCGATCAGAGAACATATACTTAATTTAAATACCTTGTTTACATGCCAACCTATTTATCACAAAATGACACATACTGTGTAATTTACTTCTGATCTGAACTTCGAGCAGAGATATGTTGTTACTTTGAACTTAGCTTTGATCCTCCAGCTTCTCAGTACCTACGTGTAAATCACTTACATGCTAAGTCATAGACTTAGTGAGACATAAACATAATAATGATACATTTCTCATAAATATAAACATGCAATCTACAAATTCAATCGTTTCACATATGATTTCCGTATATATGATAACAACATAATAACATATGATAATGCGAACACTTTTATAAGCCCATTAATATGCTTATCAATACTTATATTACTATTACTATATTCATTTTTATCATATAAATATATATATATTGAACATTTCTATACATACCTTGAAACACATATACCATTTCACAACAGAACATACATAGTATCATATCAATTGATTTATTTACTCTCTTTAAAGACCATGTATACTTTTGAGAACTTAAGGTATATGAGTACATTGAGGTTGTGCACCACTATGCTGTCACCATAGCTCGTATAAATGTCCCGAATGACCTATCCAGAGGTCATAAAGAACCTCGGCAACTGTCCATAGGTCCCGAAGAACCTAGGTAAACTTTCCATATGTTCCTTAGAACATAGGTAAACTGTCCATATGTCCCGAAGAACATAGGTAAATCCTCGACTCTTGGCATGCCAACTATACTACTAGCTCTCATATCACTTAACATGGGCATTATCATTTATATCATTTCACGCATTCACATGCACATTTCACTTTTCATATGATTTCATAATCATATGCCATTTAACTTTTAACACTTTTCTTGTGTTCATATGACATGTAAATCATTATCATCTCTTGTTCTCATATACTTTACATACATCACATATATCACATTCATATCATATATTCATATAGGCTCACGGTTTTATCACCTATCATGTCATTTCACATATACACTTTTATATCACATAAACTCATATCTTCTTATCACATAGCTTCTTATTATATCATTCACCTCATATATTCAAACATACATACATTTCATGTCATTCATTTCATTATCTATATCCTTGTCACATAGCTTATTTTATTTCACATGTTCTTATATAAGCACATATGTCATGTCTTGTTTACTTATGTTCATATATATATATATATATATCACACATACATGTATTCAAGTAATCATGTAGATCATGTCATATATAGTAACATATACCTATTTTCATATACTCATGCACATATAAGAATCCCATCAATCATATAACATTTTAGGACTCACTTCCTACCATAGTAACTCCATCACTGGCTCATCGCAAGCCAATGTATGTTCAATAACATAAGTACAATTAAATTGCACTTACCTTAGCCTTGCTTTTTTTGACTCAATCCTAATCCTTTGTTTGTTCCGGAACGAAATTACGTTCTATATCTACAGAGTAATAAATTTATACATATCAATAATCTAATTGTATACTTTAATCTTCCAATTCTTACACTAAAGGAAAGACCAATTTCATTTCTTGTATAAAGTAGGTATATATACATCCCTAACTGGGGTATAGATACCCTGTCTATGGTATAGATACCCTGCCTATGGTATACATACCCTGCCTATGGTATAGATACCCTGTCAACATTTTGGAAATTTTCATCTTCATGGGGGTATCGATACCATACTGACATTCTATAATTTTTCGTTCAATAGTAGGTATCGATACCCCTTCATAGGGTACCGATACCCTTTGCCCAGAAATTACATTTTGAGCATGAATATCACCTCATTTATGCTCAAACACTTCCTATTTCATCCCATTACATATACTTAACTTATCTACTCATACTTGAACTCATTAATACTCATTCAATACATCATTAACTTCAAAATCATATCCACCACATGAAATTCAAGAATTAAACTAAATTTTTAACATGTTCCAAATTCAATTCTAATGTTTTAGACTTCTTAATTCTTCTTATGACAAGTAAAAAATCTCATCAAAACTCTAAAAACCAAACCATATCAAAATTCATCTTTAAAACTCATTTTACAAATCCCATCCTAATTCACTCATTATTGTTTTAAGCTTATATAAGCTTTCCTTAAGCTTATATAACACCCAATTACTCCAACCCAACCTAAATTTAACAAGAAATTAAATAAATAGAAGACTCACCTTTGAGCTTGGAGATACGGGAGGAGATAAAGAAGAAAAGAGATTTCTGGAGAAATCTCTCAAACTTATCCGTATATATCCTTATCTTATCTATTTCTATGTCAAATGGCCATTTTGCCCTTTAATTCATTTGATAATTACTAACAACTCTCAGGAAATATTTTCCAATAAATCATTGAACTCTTCAACTTTTCTACTTTAATCACTAAATTCTGAAATTTTACAATTTAGTCACTAATCCATAGTTTGGGATGTTACACATTACCTCGACAATATTTGTCTCCTTCAAGGTGGAATCTCTTTCTAAATTAGGTTTTCATGCTAAAGGGAAAAAGATCGCTGAGATTGAACTTCATTAGATGAGGGGAAAATTCATTGACGAAAATATACTCACTTTCAACTTCTCAATTCGTCGAATTGCGTCCATAACAATTTTCTGTCGATGAGTAGCTTCAGAATTTGAGAGCTTCTGAATCATATCTGGATTATAAGACCTGTACTTTCCAATAATAATACGAAGAAGAAAATAAATCAAACAAGAAAAGTTTTCCCAAGCAATAGTCAAGACTCCCAGCCTTAACTCATAAAAAATTGATGATAACTACGCAGAAAATAGTGACCTCATCTTTTCCACAGCTTCAATTTTTTTTTCTGGTTGAGATTAAAGAGTTTTCTCTCAAGTTCCTATGAAACCAAAAAAGACAACTGGAAAGTTATGGGAACTATGATTGCTAGGGAGCAAAACAACAGCAAGTTATTCAGAGTTTGTTTACCTCTATGCTGAACATGCATTGCGTTAACAGCCAATAGATGATACGATAAAATGGAAAGAATGATGGCGAGATGGAAATAAAGTATAAAAAAGAATGCATGTTTGGAGTGAAAGAGAGAGAACATGTTACCATCCTATTTTATCCAGTATTTCTGCTTCATACTTCAAATGTTTCAAGCTTTTGCGCAAGAACTGTAAGCACAGGCAATATACAGCATAGTAGGAAGACAAAAACAGTCTTAGAAAGTGGGACAAATCAAAGGAGAACGAAAGGGGGATTGGCTACCTCATGGTTTTCGAGTGGTCTTACATAATATGGGGATAACCAGGGGAAGAACACAGACAAGGGCAGATACAAATGTACTAGTAAACCCTTAGCTTCACTATTTGTGAAATCTTTTATGGAGAAAATTAACAAAGATCATCGAAACATACTTTCCACGTTCATCACACCAGTCCAAGAAATGAAGAAAGATATCCTCAATCCTATAGAGGGCATGAAATTTTTTTTATCACAAGATGCATTTAGAACTTGTGTTTTTAGAACTTGAAAACACAAGAATATGGAAAGAATATAAATAACATTATTGTTTATTAGAGACTTCACCACCTTCCCCTGCTAGCAAAACTAGTAAATTGACCTATAGGAGAAAACATCATAAGTCCAACACCAGTATATCTTAACATAGATAATTCAGCCAGCCCTCCTGAAAATGCTATCCCTGCTTTTTATATGTCATATGGCGAGACCAAGAATTTTTGATTTTTCTTCTTCTTGTGACCCATGATTAAAGGAAATCGGATGAGAAAATGAAGAAAAAAGAAAATTAATTTAGACTACAAAGTGAAATGGAGTTTATACAAGAAGGGAAGAGTATGAATTAAAATTTTGGGGCTATGCAAGAGGATAAAATAGGCATGGTAATATGAAAACTATAGAAAAATTCCCTTGATCATAATCCCTAAGGTGACATTTAGTTCCCTGGAATGTTTATGGGGGAATTTGAATCTGTGAAGGAATTGGAATCTGTAAGTAATTGGAATCTATGAAGGAATTGGAATTTATCAGGAATTGGAATCCAATTCCATATTCTGTTTGGTTCGCAGACATGTCAGATGAATTTGATTTCAGTAATGTAAAATGACAGAATTGCCCTTATTAGTTTTTGCTTTATTTTAGTTTGTTTTACAACTTACATGTAGTAATATATTATAAAAAATTAAAAAATATTAAATTTTCATTTTATTGATTGATTATTCATTTCAATAAATTATAAAAATCATGCTAATAAACATCATAAGTTAAAATCATCGCAATCAAAATATGTTAGTAAGTTACCAAAAGATAGAGCAATATTTCGATACATTCCAATCGGAGTATGTTAATTAGTTACCAAAAAATATACCAAAAACTATTTTTATTCAATATATGAATTAGAAACCCGACACGACACAAAATAGTAAAAAAATATTTTTATTCAATAAAAACATTGACTTAATTGAAACAAAATTATATATAGAGGGGTATTATTGTAATTATTCCTAAATATATAAGGTAAAATTATATATTTTTTTCGGGTCGGTCCGATTTTTTCACCCTAGCCCAAACCCGACCCGACCCGAATATCACATTTAAAAAAACCCGTCCCGACCCGAATATCACACTTAAAAAACCCGACCCGACCCGAACAAAATAAAGTTTCACCCGACCCAACCCGAATATATGAATTAGAAATCCAACTTGACCTGACCCGAAATAATAAAAAAATATTTTTATTCAATAAAAAACAGTGATTTAATTGAAAAAAATATATATATAGAGGGGTATTATTGTAATTATTCCTAAATATATAAGGTAAAATTATATATATTTTCGGGTCGGGTATTTTTCACCCTAAACCCGAATTCGACCCGACCCGAATATCACACTTAAAAAATCGACCGACCCAACCAAAATAAAGTTTCACCCGACCCGACCCAAATATATGAATTAGAAATCCGACCCGACCCGAAATAATAAAAAATATTTTTATTCAATATATGAATAAGTTACCAAAAGATTGATGAGGGTAGTATGGTCAAATTTCAATTCCCTCCAACAAGGGAATTGAATTCTATCCATTATTGGAAGAAATTCACTTTTCCTCATTTAATAGAAAATTGAAGCCACGAGGGATTCCAATTCCCTTGGAAAACTTGAACCAAACATGAGAAAGTGGTGGAATTGGATTCTAATTCCCCCCAATTCTAAGGGATTTCATCCAACTAAACGTCACCTAAAGGATTTTCTTTGGCCTGCTAAAGCTTCCAGGGTAAATTGTATATATCCTTTAAGTTAACTATATAAATTTATATGATGCAAACCTAAAATTAGTCTGATTAAAGCAAACAATAAAAGGATATGCTTAGAATGGTTTAAGGCATCGATGAAAGTTATCCAAAAAGGTCGCAACCATGTTTGCCCACCAAAACTGACGGATTGACATGCTCCACATGGAATTTCTATAACGAAGTCATGCAAATTGTAAAAGAAGATTCGTCCTTCACAAAATAAGCACCATCTGGCCTACTGAGGGAATCCATGTTGGTATCAAAGATTAAAGGCAAAACATAACTATGGAAGGCCATACAGTTATTTCCTCATAGGAATTTTAGAGATTTACATGCATGTAGAAATATACAAGCCAGATACGATAAGATTCAGAATATAAGAGATAATTGTCAAAACATTAGTACAGTAGCAGCTCACTTATCAAGGATTTAGATTCCGATGTTTTATAATTCCTTAATTCTACTTCAATCACTCATCTAAGTAAACCATAGAATTTAAAGAACCAGTATTTCATTAATATATAGTATGCACTTAGAAATGGAGAACAAGCAAACTGGATCAGACCCAGTTGTCCAATGACTAAGATATTCAAACATCTGACTCAACTATGACCATCTCCATTAAACACAATCATCCATTAATATATAGGATTTAGATTTGTCGTCATCATATTGTTAATTTTTGGGTAAATTACGCCATTAGTCACTAATGTTTGGTTAAGTGTTTATTTTCATCACTGATGTTTGAAAAGTCACAAATCAGTCACTAATATTATCGTTTGTTCACTACAGCAAAACATAGTTTTAGCATCGTTTTTTAGTCCTATAGCGGCGTTTTTAAGCGCCATTAAAAGCACTTGCGGCGATAGAAAAAAAGCGCAAGAAGCGACAACCATACCAACGCCACTATAAATGAACCCTATTACGGTGTTTGTAGAGAAATGCCACTAAAATTACCATTTTGTGGCGTTTGGAATGTAAACACTGCTAAATGTTTAAAGTTAGTGGCATTTACTCTCAAAACGCCGCTAAAGAACAATTTTGCTGTAGTGGTTACAAAATGGTCACTAACATTTTTGTTTGTTACAAAATGGTCACTCGACGTTAACAGTAGTTATCAAATCGTTACTACAGTAGCGAAATGCTGACATGACACGTTAAACTAGCTGACTCAACATGTTTTACCGATCGTTTGACTCTTCTTTTTCTTTTTCTTCTTCTTAGATGCTCACAAGGCTTAACTTCAAACTGAATTTCACCCATTTCCCCTGCATTCAAACTGAATGCTCACAAGGCTTAACTTCAAACTTCGGTGCTTAACTCCGAAACTAGCTTGTACTGTACGGAATCGGATGTCTCCCTTGCATGTAAACTTGAAGAATGGTTCAAATAAAGATTGTTTCGCGACACACGGGTGAATGTATACGAATACTTTGAATAACTAAGGCCATAACCGAATTCGATGACTTTGTCTCCTTTATAGAATTTGTATGTGCGTCTGGGATAGTCGGTTGATAGTTCCGGTCGCAGCCTCATGTCTGTCATTGGTACTTTGGTGAAATCTTGTGGATACCAAGTCATGATAACATGTAATGAACCATCATTAGTCACAAACATTTCATTTTCATTAGCAAGAGATGGTATTGAATCAATGGTTTGTTACCTGGATTGTGATCATCGAAGTTATTTCCGCAAGTATAATACCTCCACCTTCTCCCGGATAACCAACCCACAAAATGCCACCGATTCTCGGATCATCCTTAGAGAAATATACATCAATAGGACCTCTAGAAAGAAGCACTAAAACAACTGGTCTTTTTGTAGACTTTGCAATGCTAGTAATGAGTTCTTGTTACCTCTAGGGAAGAAACAAATCGATGCGATCAAGTGTCTCTCTTTCTTGAGTTTGATCTAATCCAATTATCAACACAACATAATCTTCCCGTTTTGCAGTGTCGACTGCTTTGTCAATTGCAGTAGTAGAACGAGAAACCATATTGCAACCGGGGGTGATAAACAGTGTTCTTAACTTAGCTCTTCAAAGCTTGCAAAGGAGCAAAAGACTTGCATGCAGGGCCTGCATAGTTTCCGATAAGTGTTTGCGGAGAATCAGCATTCGGACCTATTACAGAAAGTAAAATAGATTTCGAAAGTGGAAGGAGTTTCACATCATTCTTTAAAAGGACAATGCCATTACGAGCAGCTTCAAGTGCTAGAATCTGGTGCTCGGGAGAGCAGATTTCCTATATTGCTGAAAGGAAGTTGCTCAGGATTTCCATCGAAAAGACCTAATCTCATTCTAACAGCAAATAGAAACTAAATGAAAACCATTTTGATTACAGAAATCACATACTTTTATGGAGCGGTCAGTCAGCTGGTTTAAAATGTCACGTTAGCATTCTGTTACTGTAACAACCATTTGTTAATTACTGTTAACGTCGAGTGACCATTTTATAACAAAACGATAACGTTAATGACCGATTTGTAACTTTTCAAAAATTAGTGGTGAAAAAGAACATTTACCCAAACATTAGTGACCACTAGCATAGTTTACCCATAATGTTAGCATTTTGTTACTGTAGCAACGATTTGTTAATTACTGTTAACGTTGAGTGACCATTTTGTAACAAACGATAACATTAATGATCGATTTGTAACTTTTCAAAAATTAGTGGTGAAAAAGAACATTTACCTAAACATTAGTGACCACTAGCATAGTTTACCCATAATTATTTAATGGTGAAGTAATCAAAATGAAAGTAATTCAAAAGTTGAGAGTAATCAAATTTTAAAATTTAGTGACAAAACAAGAACACGTGCAAAGTTGAATAATGGAAAAAATAGTTTACTCTTCTACAAATTAGATAGTTTTAAGGGGGCGAATGTCAATAGAGTTTCTTAACTACTTTTTTTTATAATAATAAATCTTAATAAATTAATTCATATATAATTTTTTATATTTTAAAGTTTTCACAAAATAATATCATAAAAATTAAAATAATAACTGATAAATTAATTTATACATACGGGTTATAAATTGGGCACCAACAAGTAACATATTGCTGTTGAGTTAATTAGGCGCCAAAATTGATTTACAGATAGTTAAAGTGGGCATCAACATCTTTAATATTCTAAGTGCTCGAACAAAAAAACCTTAAAGAAAAATAATAATTATTTTACTGTCGAAGTTGATTGGTTGGTGTTTTTTATACATAGTTTATTTATTTTTTTGGTAACAATAAACAGAAAACCAATGTTTTAACAATTACCAAGTGTTCTTCTCCTCGCCTACATATCCGACTGGGAAAGTCTTTGAATGTCAACGCCCGGGCTTTGCAGCACAGACAGACCGGTTGGCATCAGTCGACCACTTTGGGCAAGCGCATCGACGACGTTATTTGCCTCCCTACGAATGAGAAAGATCTTAATACTGTAACTGTATTGAAGAAGCTCACGAACTCTATGGATTAACGCCGGCTCATGTCGTTGCATGGGGGAAGCGAGGATTCTAAGTAACAGCTTCAGCATTATCCATCTCAACAAAGAAACGCCTGACACCATGGTTCCAGCTTCATGCCGGCATGAAGTACTGAGCACCGTCCAAAGTTCCGATGGAAACCCACTACCCAATCGCCATCAGAGTTCCGGAGAACGCCACCTCCTGTCGCTTCAATCGAGTTTAGGTTTACAACACCGTCTGCGTTGAGTTTGATTGCTCCGATTATGGGAGGTCTCCAAATTAACTTGACTTGAGTGTTCAGGGAACCATTCTCTGGTCTGGTTCGAATCGACTGCGCCCAGGATCGCATAGAAAGGATGATGGCCGTCGTGGAACAGCTTTCTCCATTGAAGATGAAGCTACATCGTTGTTTCCATAGCCTCCCCAATAGGATACCGGCTAGGTATCTCCACCAGTACGCCTCGCAATCCGCCCCTGCAACATCACTGAGATTAGTTTTCAGCCAGTCAAAAAGAGGAAGGGAGAAGAAACTTCTGTTATATGGGCTGATGTGATTTGCGGCCTTAAGATTCGAGCAGTGATGCAATCCCGAATGGTGTGAACTGTGAAGAATGGTTTCTTCTCCCCCTTACAAAGACTGGCAACCGAATTCCGACTAAAGACTACGGCGAGATTGTTGGAAAAATATGAATGAATTGATTTATTCAATCATGACTATTTAATATCTCTATTTATAAAAAATTAATTAAATATTTTCATAAAAAATAATTAATTCATTTCACCCAAAAAGTCAAGTCTTTTCATATTAACTTTTTCATCAAAATGTTATAATTTTTAATCAAATAGTTAAGTCACTTCATTTAAAGGTCTTAATCTTTCAATACAAATTACTCTCCTTATATAAATGGTTAAGTTGTGACACATCTCAACACACAAATTTTTCATTTTTCTTTCAAATATTTTCCTTTCAAATCTTCGATTCTTCCAAATTCATTTTTCAGTGATAGATAAATACAAAGATTGTGTTCAATTGTTCACTACGATTGTGCTTACTGTTGTGAACGGTTGTTGTTGTATCTTAGGAGACCGACGCCCAACATTACTCAAAGCACAGAGGAGAGGATGAATTTGTCTTAAGGAAACTGTTCATACATGCATCAACAAAACTCTTCTTCTATTTATTCAGTTCCCTCCGATTACAGGTTCTATTCTAATTTCACAAATTTTTTAACTTTATTATTGCTACGGACTTTTTTAGATTATCATACTACAACCCTAATTTTCAATATTTGCAACAATCTTAAGACAATTTCTTGTGTTGTAGTTCAATCTAAACTCAAACAGATTATCGTGGTAATATATTTAGGTTAATATATATTTTTTTCATATTATATTTATTATTTTGATTTTGATTTCGATTACAGAAAATGTCTGATACTTCATCCAATTCACAGTCTAATGCGATTGTAGCTACATAGACTCATGTTGCGAGCCAAACGTTACATATGACTATGAGTCGTAATGAAAAGCCTACGAAATTCAATGGAGAGAATTTCAAACATGGCAAAAGAAAATGTTGTTTTATTTGACGACATTGAATCTGGCCAACTTTTTGAATGATGATCCTCCTACTATTAGAGAGGATGAAGTGGATGCTGTAACCGCATTCAACATTACCGAAGCATGGAAGCACTCTGATTTCCTATGTCGTAACTACATCTTGAACAGTTTATCTGATGCACTTTATGAAGTATACATCATAAAGAAAATGGCTAAGGAATTATCGGAATCATTGGATCATAAATACAAAACTAAAGATGCTGGTACTAAGAAATTCTTAGTTGCCAAATTCTTAAGCTTTGTAATGGTTGATTATAAAACTGTTGTGAACTAGGTGCAAGAATTCCAACTGATCATTCATGGTATTCTCGCAGAAGGGATGATTATAAGTGAATCTTTTCAGGTGACGACCATTATTGAAAAACTTCCGCCTGCTTGGAATGACTTTAAAAATTATCTTAAGCATAAGAGAAAAGAAATGACAGTGGAAGATATGATTGTGAGACTTCGGATTGAAGAAGATAATCGATGTGCGACTAAAAGGCTAAACAAAACAACTAATCATAACATTGCCAAGAAAAATGTGGTGGAAGTCAAAAAGAACTTCAAGAAAAGAAAGCAATCTCAAATTGAGTCTAAACTAGGAACAAAAGGCAGTGTTTCTAAGAAGCAAAAATTCCAAGGGAAATGCTTTAATTGCAATAAGGAGGGACACGTGTCATTCGAATGTAGGCTTCCAGAAAGGTCCATAACAAAAACGGCTAATGTTGTGACAGAAATTTCCAAGGAAGTATTTGAACATGACCTATGTGATGTGGTCTCTGAAGTTAACTTGGTTGATTCAAATCCAAGAGAATGATGGCTTGATACTGGTGCCACACGCCATATTATTGTGACAATGACTCCTTTGTTGAATTGGTTTCTTGTGTGAAAGGAGAAAAACTCTATATGGGCAACGCTACAACTTCCAAGATGTTGAAAATATTTTGATGTTTCAATATAACAAATTAAGTTTAAATGAATTTTAAGGTTTTACAAATCATTTTTAAAGTATATTCGATTAAATTATTCGAATATCCAAATATTACTCCAAGTCTTTAAAAGATCATTTCAATCCTTACTAAAGTGTAAAATTATGTTTTAAACTTAGAATATTTTTGAAACAATTTTCACAAATTATTTCGAACCAAAATCGAGCCAAAAATTAAATTTACAAAGTGATGTACCGATGCACTACATTGATGTATCGATGCACACCCATTTCGAATGCATTTTGTGTACCGATGCACAAGCCATACATCGATACACTCTTGAATATTTTAAACATCGAATGCTTTTTGTGTACCGTTTCACAGACCATGCATCGATGTACTCCAGTCTCATTTGGAACATCGAATGTAATTAGTGCACCGATGCACCCCTAGTGTACTGATTCACTAAGTATTCAAACAGTCGAAATATTTGAATTCTACACATAGTGTACCGATGCACCTTGGCTATGCATCGATGCACCATACACTCCAAACTGTTTTATTAATTGTTTTCACACCATAACAGCTCTATTGACTCCACTAATGATCCCCAACGTTCAGAAGTGATCCAAGGAGTATTTAAACAAGCTTAGGAGCCATTGATCAATAACAATTAAGAAGAGAAGCAAAAGAATCAAAGAGAAAGCATCAAACCTCAAGTTTGAGCATTTTAAGCCTATTTTTCATTCAATATTCATTTTGCTTTCAAGAACACTTATTGTGCTCAATTGTATTTATTTTTAATGTTCTTTCTTTGTTCTAGAATTGTGCAAACATCTTACCTTGTGAGGTTTTCTTGCAAGTTTGCAAATTTGTGCAAACATCTTACCACGATTGTCAATGGTCTCAAATCATATGGAGAGATCATTCCAAACGAAAAGCTTATGAGGAAGTTAGTTTACTCTCTTCCAAAATCTTGGCAATCAAAGAAGACAACAATCATCGAGGCTAAGAACCTAAAGTCTTTAACTCTCGAAGAGTTAATTGGTTCACTCCTCATTCATGAAATGATGCTTCAAGATGAGGTAGAACTCAAGAAGATCAACGAGCCAAAGAAGGAGATGGATAGAAAGAAGAGCGTGGGCTCTCGAATCCACAAGAGATGAAAGTGATTCAAATGAAGATGACGATGATGAGGAAATGGCATTATTTGTCAAACGGTTCATAAAGTTAATGAGGCCCAACCGAGGAAGAAAATTCAAACGAAATGAAGGCTTCAAAAATGAACCGAATGAGAAAGACCCTATCATTTGCTACGAATGCAAAAAGGCAGGGCATACCAAATATGATTACCCATAATTGAAGAAAAAGGGTCAATCAAACAATAAGCACAAGGCTCATGTGGCTACATGGAGCGATGAAGAAGGTTCTGATGAAGAGGAACAAGAAGTTACAAACTTGTGCTTGATAGCCATCGGGGAAAACTCTCAGGTGACCTCTAACTCATTTGATTCAGATGATTTATCTTATGATGAGTTATTAGAGGATTATAATGGGTTGGCTTCATATTATAAGACTTTATTTTCAAAATACAAAAATGATATTTCAAAATTGAAAAATGAAAATAGTTTTATGTCCAAAACCAACAATGATCTTGAAAGTAAGATCAAAGAATTACAAATCAAATTAGATAAATTTGAAAAGAAAAATATCAATTTGCATAACTTACTTTCAAGAATAAATGACGATCATCAAAAGAAAATTGATGATCTTAAAGCTTCTTTTAATAAAGTTGATCTAAAACGTTTTGAAAAAGGAGAAAGTTGAAAAATCAACTTTGTTAGAAAAAGTTTTAAAAACTACTATCATAGAGGTCCCCGAATAACCTCTAATGGAAAATCATTAGAAGTATATGGGTTCCTAAAAAACTCATTACTACTAAAGATAAGGATATCCTACATAAATGGATACCTAAGGGGATTAGAATTTTGGAGATTAATGAATATGGACCCAAAAGAAATTGGGTACCAAAAATAAAAATTAATCTATGTTTGTAGGGAAATGAGCGTTACTACAAGGCACGAGAAACAAATTCAAACTCATGGTACCTTGATTGTGGATGCTCAAGACACATGACCGGAGACAAGATCTGGTTTATAGAACTTAACGCCAAAAATAGAGGAGATGTGACTTTTGGTGATAATTCAAAAGGTCACATTGAAGGTATAGGCACTATAGGAAAACAATATGCTTTTGTCTTGGTAGATGACTATTCTAGATATACTTGGGTTCTATTCTTAAGTACTAAAGATGAAGCATTAGAAAAATTCATCACGTTTTCAAAAATAATCCAAAACGAAAAAGGTTACTCCATAACTAGTGTTAGGAGTGATCATGGAACTGAATTTGAAAATCTTGGATTTATTGAGTTTTGTAATTCTAATGTTCTTAGCCATAATTTTTTAGCACCTAGAACCCTTCAACAAAATGGAGTTATTGAGAGGAAAAATCGAACTTTAGAAGAAATGGCTAGAACCATGCTTTGTGAAAACAATTTGCCAAAATATTTTTGGACGGAAGCCATAATTACCGCTTGTTATGTTAATAATCGAGTAATGATTAGGCCAATTTTGAAGAAAACTCCATATGAACTTTTCAAAAATAAAAAGCCTAACATTAGCTATTTTCATCATTTTAGATGTAAATGTTTTGTTTTAAACAACGGTAAAGAAAATCTTGGCAAATTTAATGCTAAAAGTGATGAAGGAATTTTTATGGGCTATTCCTTAAATTCTAAAGCTTATCAAGTATGTAATAAAAGAACTTTAGTTGTAGAAGAGTCCATACATGTTGTTTTCGATGATAATCCCCTTCCAAGGAAGGATTCTTGTGTGAATGATGATGTAGGTATTGTAAACACAAATGACGTTAGACATGACATTGGAGAACCATCATCAAAGGAAGAAACGAAAGATGAGGAAACTCATGATGTTCTTGAGAATCTAACCATTGAAGAAAGGGAAGTCTCTTACCCAAGAGAATACAACTATGTCAAGGATGGTGAGATAATAGGTGATTCATCAAAAAGGGTAACAACTCGATCTTCTCTTAGAAATATATGTAATTATGTTGCATTTATCTTATGCATAAAGCCTAAGAATATTAAAGAAGCATTAAATGATAAACATTGGATTATGGCTATGCAAGAAGAATTAAATCAATTTGAGAGAAGTAAAGTATAGACATTAGTTGAAAGGCCTAGTAATAAATCTACTATAGGTACTATATGGGTATTTAGGAATAAGCTTGATGAAAGTGGTAATATAGTGAAAAACAAAGCTAGACTTGTTGCTCAAGGCTATACTCCAGAAAAGGGCATAGACTATGATGAAACATACGCTCCCGTAGCTAGGATGGAAGCAATTATAATGTTATTAGCATTTACATGTTTCAATGAATTTAAATTTTATCAAGTGGATGTTAAAAGTGCATTTTTAAATGGTTTTATAACAGAAGAAGTGTATGTGGAACAACCTCCTGGTTTTGAAGATTCAAAATTTCTTGATCATGTTTTTAAATTGAAAAAAGCACTTTATGGTTTAAAACAAGCTCCTAGAGCTTGGTATGAAAGATTGTCAAATTTTTAATTAAAAAAGGTTTTACAAAAGGGAAGATTGACACTACATTGTTTTTAAAGCATAAAGGTAAAGATTTATTAGTAGTTCAAATTTATGTTGATGATATAATATTTGGTTCTACTAATGATGTTCTTTTCCAAGAATTTTCTAAGCTAATGCAGAGTGAATTCGAGGTGAGCATGATGGGGGAGCTCTCATATTTCTTGAGACTCCAAATCAAGCAAAGAAAAGATAACATCTTCATCAATCAAGCTAAGTACGTCAAGGATATGCTCAATAAGTTTGGACTGGAAAATAGGAAACCTTATGCCACTCCAATGAGCTATTCTACAAAGCTTGACAAAGATGAAGGAGGTAAATATGTGGATGTTAAATTATATCGGTTAATGATTGGCTCTTTTCTTTATCTAACCGTAAGTAGACCAGACATTATGTTTAGTGTTTGCTTATGTGCTAGATTTCAATCATGTCCTAAAGAATCCCATTTACTAGCTGTTAAGAGAATCTTTAGATACGTTAAGGACACTCCTAGTTTAGGACTTTGGTATCCTAGAGACACTAGCTTTAGCTTGCATGCCTTCTCTGATGCGGATTATGGAGGATGCAAAATAGATAGGAAAAACACCTCTGGTACTTTCCAATTCCAAGGAAATATGTTGATTTCTTGGTTTTCAAAGAAACAAAATTGTGTTGCATTATCTACCACTGAAGCGGAATACATTTCAGCCGGTAATTGTTGTGCACAAGTTTTATGGATGGAACAACAACTTTTAGATTATGGAATTGAAGTTAGTACCATACCTATCAAGTGTGATAATACTAGTGTTATTTGTCTCAATGAAAATCCCACCCAACACTCTAGAACTAAGCACATTGAAATTAGACATCATTTCATTAGAGAACATGTCGCTAAAGAAGAAGTAGTTCTAGAATTTGTTGATACTTTGCACCAATTAGTAGACATTTTTACAAAACCTTTAGATAAAGAAAGATTTTGGACACTTAGGAGAGAATTAGGTTTAACTGACCTATCTTCACTTAGTGTTTAAAATAAGTTTAACACTTTTAATTAGTTTTGAAAAATGCT